CACAAACCCCCCTGTGGTGGCCTTCCTTGCCCTGCTCCCACCAGCCTCAGGCTCATTGACTTCCAATACCTTGGTCAGTCTTGACTTCACCCACCTTTTCTGGCTTGGCTCAGGCTCAGGCATCTCTTCATCAGCCTTCTGCTTCTTGCCTTTATCAACCTTGGTAGCAGCCTTGGGACTGGCCTCAGTATCCTTCCCATCTCCCAGCCACCAGCACTTGCCCTTTGATTGGTTGCACCATATGCAGGCAACCTGCTTCTTGTTACCATCCACAAGGAACTCGCAGACAGTCTTTGCCTGGGTGCAGCAGGTACAGCTAAAAAGATTGGACTTCAGACCAAATGCACTGGAGTGGAGAAAGTACTCACCCAGGGTCCATGACCACCTTTTTCACCCCAACAGCCTCACTACTACCAGCCCCAGCTTCATCATCCTTCGCAGCTTCAGCCTTGCATTTATGCTTGGCCTCTCATCTCTCTTCCTCCTTGCACACTCTTTTCTCCTCAGCTTCCTGTGCTGCCTTCTCAGCCTCAGCCTTCACCCTCTCCACTCTCTTGGCCTCAAGCTGAGCCTGCTCCTCCCACCAGGCTTGCTCAGCTGCCTTGCACTGCTTCCTCTCTTTGGCCTTGGCCCTCATTGCCTCCTCTTTGTCATCAGTATTGTACTTGATGGCATTGTCTGACACCTGGGTCCAATTGATCATGGTCCAGCCTTCACTGTTGTCATTGGTTGCGATGATCAGTCTCAAGGTGGACATGATGGTTGAGATATAAAGAAAAGATGCAAAAGGCTTAGCAGGCCACAAGTATCACTTTTTCAAACTCAGCCAAGGTTCAGACTCAGCCTACCTCTTCTGCAAGGGTCTCATGGGTTCAACCCCTAAGAGGGGGATACTGTCATAGTCATGTATCGACCCCAGCTGGACTCAGCCTTGCACTCACTCAGTCCAGGCACCACAAATGTGTTATGAATGCAGATCTCATGAGTATCATACTGTGGGTGGGTGTGATCTGCAAAGGTAGCTTGAAATCTACAAGAGTACACCAGATGTTTTGAAGTGGAAGTCATACTATCACCTCTGGTCCTGGTAAGTTTCTCATGTGACCTTTCATCTTTGCTTTGCATATGTCTCACCTTCATGGTTTGCTCCAGAAACTGCCACAGGCTCATGCTATCAAAGGGAGGATCAGTGGGTCAGATCAAGTAATCCACTGTGTCAGATACCACAGACAGCATTCCCTGGATAGAATGCACAGTACATGTGGTACCATAAACATTATCTGGACAATCAGGGATCAACAGGACACTGCAAGTACAATTGCCATCAACATGATGCTCATGAGCAATGGCCACATCTATGAACTTGTGAAAGCAGATGGTGCAGAATGCATGACTAGTATAATAATCCCCACTTCCAATTAAATAACTCATAACTTGCTGGTGCAAGACTTCATGTCTACCCATCATAGCATTGACCATCTTTGTGAGCAGGTTTCTTTTACACACAGGGGATGAGGATTCCACATCATCCATAAAACATTTTCAGTGACTATCAACAGCTGCACAGATTGCCTGGAGACTGACATGAACCTGGAGGTCATTCTTCATAATGTAATCACTGATATAGTAAGTCAATGCTTTTGTGGCAGCCCTTGAGCCAATAAACTTAATGTCCATATTGCATTGCAGAAGGAATATTACAATGTTGTTATAATTGTTTATATGTGGGTGAAGTCAACAAAGAAGGATAGACTGTGTTTCTGGATTGACATAGGACAGCGCCTGAATGGACCTGTCAATTCACATGCAACAATTCTCATCACCAGGTTCCTCACCAGGGTGTAGGTTTTTGAAACATGTAAGCATGTGTTCATGCCAATTGCATTCAATAACTAAGTGTCAAATGAAGTCATTAAATGTGATATTGAAACTACCTTTCTCCACCAATGTGATCTGTGGTGGCAGTTCCAGATGAGGATCAAGCTCATCTTGCTGGTGAATGGGCTTGGAAGAATTTGACACCATGGTATTTATATTATCTGATGTGTCCCCCAGAAGCTCACACTTAATAAGATCCTCTAGCCACCAAAAAAGCACAGTCTCAAACCCATTGTCAGCCATCATCATCCATCACAACCATTCCAGGCTGGGATGGTTCTCCACCCACAGTAGCATATGACAATGAAGCATTCCCCACCCCTGCACCTCAACTGTTGCATAGTAACCATTGCATTTCCCAAACAAACTGATCCCTTTGTTATATTTCATGATGACAACCATAAAACCTCAGATAATAACATCAAATGCCTTTGCAGCAGCTGCAGGATGTGATGCAACAAACACTGTGTGCTCATATGCACCTAGTTGCCACCATCAGGAAACATCCACACTGCCATAGTGAGCAATGAGAACATTCATCATGTCATGTGGATTCAAGGTAAGGAAAAAGGCTGGAGTGCCTAAATGACATGTCAGGGAATGGATTTCATTGCAGCAACATAATTTATATCCATTGCTACCAGGCAGCAACTGACATATCATGTTCAATTCATGGAACAATTGTAAGGCTTTCCTCTCCTCAACTGAATCCACTTTTGCTCTCAGGTTTTTCTCCAGTTTCTCTGCCAACATCACTATGCTTGCCTCCACCTCCCAAACATCATTCACAAGACTGTGCTGATGAGCCAACAATATGTGAAACACAGAATTCTCACTTGCTGCTCACTTTTGCAGGATATTCCAACATATGAAAGGACACATTGCATCCTGTGCAAACAGCAAATTCCTAGAGTTGTCATTGGAAGGAGATGCATTGGTCAGGCCAGCAGGCAGGATGATTGAAGTTGCCAATACCCCAGGGATCCAGATGCAGAAACACTGCAGTTAAGAAAGTGGGCATGTTCTTGTTCATCAACTCCAAACCAGCTTGACTAACAAAAAAGCTTTTGTGATTAAGTGCATGGGCCAGTGCAGCAGCTTTCATGGCACACCATGACCACTTGGAATGATCACCATCCATGTAGGCAACTCTTTCAGTTACAAGGTCAGACACCAATGTAGACCAATCCACACAGATGTCAGCATCAGCTGTCTCATCCCCATCCCAGAGATGGGTAATCTTGATACCCTGCAATACCCCTACATCATCACCGCCAATTACCAACAATGCCAGATCCTTGAGACTAAATGTAATGCCCTCTTTCATATACCATTCATTGTTAGAAATTAACCATTCAATAATACACTGAACGCTTGACTTGCTAACAAGTACTGGAGGAAATTTTTGCAACACATCCACACTTGGCCAAAACACACTGCCAGCAAACACTACACAAACTCCCCCTTGCAAATTGTGCCATGTCAGTGGAAGAATGTTTGACAGCACAGACAGATCCTGGGGCAAAAGAGCAATGTTCCCTCTGTTAAACTGCTGAGATGCTTCCTCAGGAACCTGACCTCCTCAAATGCCCTTCATTTGATAATGATGAGTGACAACAGTAGCTCAACATGCAGCCATGAGCATAAGCTCCAATGCACTTGCTGTGTGTATACTTTCCCAAATGTCATGCAGTAACTCATCAAGACCATAATACTGAAAGTTGGCTATGGCATCCTTTGGTTGCCAGGGTGTTCTTCCCATTAATGCCTTCCAACAAGTTGTGCACATCTTTATCTCAGCAATATTGGACAAGCAATGCATCCCACAGTGGCAAAGTATAGCTCCAGAATATCTCTCAATATCATATGTCTTCAGGCAACAGTCAGCAGGTAACCAATCATTCCTTAGTACAGAAAGAATTTCTGTAGAGGGATGAATGTCTGAAAGCTCACCACAAGGAAACATCTGCACACAGACAGCACACACATCCTTGACAAGTTTCTGCAGCAACATATGGTCCTGCCATTCCCAAACAATGTCTAGTTTTTTGCTCAGTGATCTAATAGGGGGATAAATCTGTGCCCCCTCTTCTGCCATTGTTATCATTGGTTCTCATTGAGCCTATGTGACACTTCTTTGCATGGCTCTAACATCTGTGATGCTGCTCTTTAGTGAAGTAGCCACTTGCAATACAGGGGCAAGACATTTCCCTTGCTGGGCATGTTTTAACTGTCGAAACATATACAATAGTGATGTACAAGTAACTAAACACATATGACCATGGAGGGCATCCACACACAACTGACAGTGCAAGTGGTCATGCAGTACCACATTGTGGTGGTCCACAATAGATTTCAGTACCTTTAGCCCCAGGAAAGGGTACTGTTTGACAAACTCTTGAACAGAGCTTGCACAACACACCAACAATGAACTGGCAGGGTACACCACCCCCTTGCTGACATCATTCTGCACAGTTACATGCTTGAGTGTATACTCTTGGCAGACAAACTCATAACTAATCACAGCATCATTGCCGACACCAGCAATATCAATATACAAGTGGCGCATGCCACTGTCCATGATAACACACAATCAACAAGATGTACCTCCAGGTCATGAGCACAATGTTCAGTCACCTTGTTTACAAGGTCACTGCACCTCAAAATTCATCACTCATTTTTCAACATCTGCAAACATTCCTCTTTACAAAGTCTGATTCAAATCATTCAGGTGAAGATTTGTTGGTGCACATTTATGTACTTGCATTTATGTACAATTGTAATGAGCTCAAATGAAAAGGTGGTTAACTCACAGATGAAGATCAATTGATGGTGGCAGCAAATTGAAGGCATGTGCCCATGTACAGTTGCATGCCTAGACTGTCCCCATTCATTTGTTCAAACTCCAAGCCAAAGGGTTTACATGCAGACAAAGACCAATCAATGATGGCAGTGAATTGAGGGCATGTATCTTTGTGCTCTAGTTTGGGGCAAGTGCAATCTACATCACTTTGGCTCTTTCCCAGTCTAACATCATCTTACAATCAAGAGCCACAAGCCTTTGGTCCTCTTGTCACAGATATTCACTCAGATGTTGAGTCATCAATGCCAGTCCTTACAACATGTCTGCCATTCACAGTACTCTCACATATGCCAATGGCACTCATTACATCGATGTCATTGACTCCAAGACATCAACTGCTATCTCCCCACTGTTTCAATTCCACACCACAGCAGTGATGAATTTCATCAGCACTGACACCATCTTTTGCAAATATCCCAACCAGACATTCCATCACCATGTGCTGATCAACCCACATCCCATTTATTATGGCTCAATTGGCTTCAAAACCATGGCAGCCCTGCAGAAATACAGCACATGTGGTTTCAAGTTTGGCAGCCATGAAGAGTATCACCATTTGCCTTACAGTTGCAGGTGTATGCCCTGCAATTTGACTGATGGTGGCTGTCTATGGCTTCAAATGTCTAATCTCCATCACAATGTTGTGAAGCCCACTGATGTCCTCAAGTGCTTGGGGGTCATCAATGTCATGTGGTTACTGGGTGGGTATGTATGTGGCACATATCCTGCCTTTCTGGAGGGCTATTCATTCATGTTCAACAACAACATGTGAGTACCCAATACTGACATTGCTGTGCATGCACTCATTATCTGAAGGGATCTTCTCTCCAATTGGTGTTTCATCAGAAGTGAGGAAACTTAGAAGATGGCCACCAAAAGCTCCAAGGAATAATAGCACATTGTCGAAGATTCGTTTGCATATAACGGGGGGATGGAGTCGAGGCGAGGATGGCAGACGGGGTGCATTTAGAGTGTGGGTGGCGACGCCGACACAGCGAGAAAGGGGCGTGACCTCCGATGGCACTGCAATGGAAATGTTAGACTGGTACAAATATTGATTGCTAGCTGTAAATTATGGGATTCAATGACGTGTCCGTAAACAAGGTGCCTGCCGTCCCTGATGGCCCTATCCTCTAGTGACGTAACGGTTACAAAAAACAAATAAATCCAATTCGCCCCCCCACACAGATGACCACGTGACCGGAGTTAACAGCCGTTAAACCCTGAATGATCGTTGGCGACAGAGTTTGCACACCCGGCCTAACAGCGTCCAGGAATATAGGCTGCTTTCAATCCTTTCTTCTTCTGTACGTCTTTCACTTGCTGAGAGTGAATCATCTGTCTGACTAGTGGTTAGTACATCACAGTAGTGTTGACAGGATCCGTGAGTGCCGAATATTTGAACATATGTATGCCACCCATTGATGCCACTCATCTCAGTCGCGCTATGGGAGTGGTGCTACCCAGACTACTGGACGGGCGACGGCTACACGGAACCGCGTGATAATAGCAGATCCTTTTCATGGACTCAGGTGAGTGCAGTATTATGGAGTGTAATGAAATTCTGATCTTTTTTAACTTACATGCAAGTATAAACGAGCAACTTCTTCCTACCGGTGTTCGCGGTTCCCTGTATCCGTTCAGATTGGAGAACGGCGAGTACTGGAATTCTGAACAAACCCGTTTCCTCTACAAAGATAACAAAGACGCATATCCGAAGTGTGCGCTCTCCTACTCTTCATCCCACATTCCATGGGATGTCATAAATTTAATCAATG